TTGGGCTTGTTTTCATTGTGTTGGGGCTTGTTTCCATTGTGTTGCGGCTTGTTTCCATTGTGTTGCGGCTTGTTTCCATTGTGTTTTGCTGATTTTGTTGTTTTGCGGCTTGTTTCCATTGTGTTGTGGCTTGTTTCCATTGTGTTGTGACTTGTTTCATTTGTGTTGTGCTGATTTTGTTGTGTTGCGGCTTGTTTCTATTGTGTTGCCGCTTGCTTCCATTGTGTTGTGGCTTGTTTCCATTGTGTTGTGGCTTGTTTCATTTGTGTTGTGACTTGCTTCCATTGTGTTGTGGCTTGTTTCCATTGTGTTGTGACTTGTTTCATTTGTGTTGTGCTGATTTTGTTGTGTTGCGGCTTGTTTCTATTGTGTTGCCGCTTGCTTCCATTGTGTTGTGGCTTGTTTCCATTGTGTTGTGACTTGTTTCTGTTGTGTTGCGGCTTGTTTCCATTGTGTTGTGACTTGTTTCTGTTGTGTTGCGGCTTGTTTCCATTGTGTTGTGACTTGTTTCTGTTGTGTTGCGGCTTGTTTCCATTGTGTTGTGACTTGTTTCTGTTGTGTTGCGGCTTGTTTCCATTGTGTTGTGACTTGTTTCTGTTGTGTTGTGGTTTGTTTCTATTGTGTTGTGGCTTGCTTCCATTGTGTTGTGCTGATTTTGTTTTGTTGTGGCTTGTTTCCATTGTGTTGTGGCTTGCTTCCATTGTGTTGTGGCTTGTTTCCATTGTGTTGTTGCTTGTTTCATTTGTGTTGCGGCTTTCTTCCATTGTGTTGTGCTGGTTTTGTTGTGTTGTGACTTGTTTCCATTGTGTTGGGGCTTGTTTCATTTGTGTTGCGACTTGTTTCCATTGTGTTGTGGAGATTCCGTTGTGTTGTGCACTACTGGGCCACCGTACCATACACATTTTGCAAAAGTTTCTGTTTACACCATCGACTGACAGACCGGTAATAATTTTCTATGGTAATCAACATCTTGTCCCATATAAATCTTAATTTGTTTTGAACTGATAACGTTTGTCAAAGTATGTACTGCGTTCTAAATATAGATGACACCTGAGATACTATCTTTACATGCTGTACATAATTGCTGTCATCTCCACACTTTCATGTCGCAGCTCAGTGTACTCCCATTGGAATATAGTGTGGGTGGCATAAAATATGATTAGGTTTTAAAAACAAATTACAGTTGCTAATTCTTAAAATCAATTCCCTCATGGGAGAGCAGGCTAAGGAAAACTGACCTAAGACAAATAGTTATAACACATCGAGGTGGAACATTCAGCACAGAGACCGCAGTGAAAGAGACGATCAAACTAAAAAATCAATGGTTCACAAAACAAAACAAAAACAGGACAGAAACTGCACATACAAAACAAAACATGTTTTCAAAAGGCATACCATGCATAGACTGATGACTTACAATATTATGTTTTTATGTCAGCAATTCAAAAGTCATTGCAGCAACTCGGTTCTAGTGAGCTAAACAGGAACTTGAAGCTTTGTGTTTATGCATTTCCGATGGTCTACAAGACACTGAGCTACCTTCTCGAAATTAGTTGTGATTCATTTATAATAATGAAAAACGGAACGAATTACAAGAGGCATACTTGGAAATAAGTTCCCCCCCCCCCCCCCAAATATTATGTTTTATCAGACATTTAAAATATATATATATTTTTTACTTGCTCAAATCTTTTCTGGGTCAATGACAATGAATTTAAAGTAAAGTTTTGTTGTTGTTTTTTTAACAGTTAAGAATTTCTTGAATTAATTTTGGTATTTTTGAAAGGGTATAACATCAAAAATGTCATGGTGGTATAACCATCCTAATGATACAATAATAAAAATATTTATTTTAATAAAAAACAAGGTTAGCGTTCAAATGTCAACAGGTGTAGCCCTAAGAAAACATAAGTATATTAATGATTCAAAATAACTTTAGATTTGAACATTGGGAATTGATATATTTGGAAATATATATATATATATATATATATATATATATATATATATATATATATATATATTTACAAAAATAT